CTTAGACCCGTTTGCCTGTCCACAGTTACTCTTGGAGAAGGTTTAAAAATACACAGCAAAGCCTGTCTTAGGAGACCAGTCCAGGAGCTGATGAAAGTGGGTTGCCTAGCGGAGGTGGCCTAATAAAATTGGAGTGGAATTGTACTGTGCATCTTTGGGACGGCTTCTGGGTGGTCTGTTTGGACGAGTTCGTGTCCTGCCGGTGTGGAGTCTCGTGCGGGTTTCACTGTGTTGTCAAGTGAACTGAGATGTGTTTGTTTCCCAGCCTCGTAGGGTGCGATAGCCCCAGCAAGTCCTTCCCTAAGTAATCAGCGCCTTCGGCCTCGCTCATTGTGATCTCACAAGCCATCGCGTCTGTGATGTCACAATGGAAGAGATTCTGGTGCTCTGAAATAGCTGACATATCTGGTGGTGCCTTTGTGACATATCAGCCAAGGAACGCAGCGGGAAGAATGAGCTCAAGAAACGGGAGAGACCTTCCTTAACCCGAGAGTGCCCTCCATCCTTTAGCCAACCCTTTCCGTGTTCACTTACCTCTTCCATAATGCCCAGAGAGAGGGAAGCTGGTGATTTTTTTAAATTTTTTTATTGGTGATTTTTTTATTTTTTTAAGTTGAACTACTGAGAAGCACGTAGCTCCCAGATGAGCAGTTCCCTGACTTTGCTCCTGTAACCCTCGTTCTTTGCAGTTTACCCTCACTTCTTGTATTGCATCCAATTCTAGACTGTAAGTTCTTGAGAACAGGGACCTCTTCCATCTGGAGTGGGAAGAGGCTGGGTGTGATTGCGGAATGCTGTAAAAACCAAAATGATGAACGCCGAGTTGTATCTGGGCTGAGCAATGATGGGACAGCATATAGGCATCCAGTTACGTTATCAATTTTCCAAAACATGGGCTAGGTTGTCTAGCAGCACTGGGGACATACCCAGCCAAAAGCGAAGGGAGTGCAACCGTGGAAGTGTACTGGATTAATGTTCAAGGGATGATACTGTGAGGTTAACAAATTAAAAAAGCCAATTTACATGTCTAAAACCGTGTTACATTATTAAAATGGTTCTAAAAGCTTTGTGTTTTGTTGTTTGTTTTATTTTATGTATTTTATTTAATTTTTTTTTTTGCAAGTTTGGACAGTGACAAGTGGATAAGCTGGTTTTGTTCATAGTCTTTTGTTTCCTGCCTTGCAGACTAGCCAGGTGCTGTCATTTTTGTACTGTAGTTCATCTAATGAAATATTTGGGTTTAGGTTAAGGCTGATTTAAAAAAGAAATGGGAGTTATCTCTATTGTTCTTCAGTTATATCTTCACACAACTGAAATATGGGCTCACATTTGACCTCTGAGTATGTATTTGAACAGCTACCAAAATGGAAGTCCTGCATTTTTTTGTTACACTCTGTTCCAGGTGTTGCTAAATGTATGCATGGTTCTACAAAAAGCATCTTTATTAAATTATAAAAAGGAAAAAGATAGGCTAATAAAGTAAGACATTGTAATTTAATAAAGTAAGACAAACCTGCCTTACATTTTGGATGGGTTTTGGTTGCTCAAGCTATGAGTTGTCAGAGGCCAGGAGTCACAGCTGCCCCTGCCCAGGCTTTGCATGGGGAATAAACTGAAGTCTATGACTCCCAAAGCTTGCTTGCTTGCTTTTATTTTTTAACTTTAGTTTATCTTGTCCTTTAGTGTGGGGGGTTTTTTTTGTTTGTTTATTTTTTTAATATGGTGGAGGGCCCTATTGCCACAACAAAGTAATTCAACTTACAAGTGGAGGCTCTTGTAAAACATGATTTTTTGGGTCACCCCTCCAACATGAACCTAGGTGTTTGTCTTCTTGTCCCCTCCCTACATCAGTTTATCAAACTGGATGTTGAAGGGGAATATTTTTGGGTTAAAGGCAAGCAGTTAAAAGTTATGCCTTCTCTTGCTGCCTGGTGCCTTTAATTAGGTGGGGTTGTAAAAAGTAAATATTAGTGTTATGTGCCCATTCAGCTCAAGTTTGTAGGCTAGTTTGTCTCGCCATTGATGAATTTCAATCCTCTGCAATTTGCGTGGTGCTCATCTCTGCGTGTGGCTTTGGGGCTGCCCCGCAGGTGGGAGAGAGCACTTGCAACGCCCCGCTGGCTTTTGTCACCAGCGTTCTTCACGTGGCAGGAGTTCCCCATCTCACTCCGTGCCACTTGTGGTTGCCCTTAAGCAGCTCCCTTCCCCAGTGGGAAGCCTGGAGCGCAGCAGCCGCCGGTGCAGATTCTCCACTTTGCACTCTGTGGGGCTCCTGGCAAGCTGATGGCTACAGCTGGCACTTGCCTTTCTCTTGGCTTTCCTTGCTTGCTGGTGATCAAACTGTCGGGCATTACTGTCGTGTGCTTGGACCACTAACAAGGAAGAGCAGTGGTCAGCCTGAGCTTGGCCTGTTACTTGCAGCTGATATCCAGAGATTATTTTTTATTTTTTTAATTATTTTTAAAAGGCAGTTGCTGTTTATAGCCGGTGATATCACGTGTGGCACATGCTGTTACACAGCACATAATGCAAACTTTAGCTTCCAGCCAAAACCTACCACACGTAGCTGCTTCCCATGTTACTGGGTGTTGCAAATGTAAAGTGCTGTTGCGTTTTCCTAGGTCTGTGTACAATCTGTCAAAATAATTCCTGAAGTCCAGCCTCAGTTTGTGGTCCCATTACATTTCATTTTTATCTGCATAAGGAATTGGAGCTGTGTGATATGAAATATTAACCTAGCAGGGTTGTATGCCAGATGTGACAGCTTGCACTGTCTGAGATTATAATCTGACCCTGCGTGCATAAGAAATATATATGTGGTGTTTTACGTAGGTTTGGAAATGGAATCACTGAACATGTGGATTTATATGGGTAGAGCTGGGTTTCTAATTTTTGAAGCTGCATTGCTTGCACTGTTGTCTGTTGGAAAAAAAAAAAGAAGGGATAATTACTAGTGCTTTGCATTGTCATAGCCATTATAAATGCTTTACATGACTTCTAATAAAGTGTGTTTGCTCACCAGCTATCTCGTGCTCTGAGGCATTCTGACCTTGCCAAAGAAGATGATGTGAGGTCTTCCCAGGGCAGCTAGAGCAGGGGCTGGGTAAACACGCAGTTAAAACTTCATTTGGCTGAAGGTGCAGAGTTTGCGGTGGGGTTGCTCTTATTTGTATGCCGTCTGCGTGGGGGAATCGGGCCGCAGTACCCCCCCTCGCACACCTTCATTGGGAGCATCTCTGCTACACCGGGGGAGTGGGGAGGGAGGCTGCTTTTAGGATGGGGAGCCCGATCCTGTTGTTAGACGGGTACCACCTGCAGTAGTTGTTAGCATAAAGAGGCACTAGATGTTGGCTGTTACTTCCTTCTAGTGATGTCCCACCGTACCTGTGTGACACAGACCTGCCAGGGTCTGGAGGGTGTTGCTGTGTCCGTGTGGTGACGTGCCTGACTCCTGCCAGGACGGCCAGTTTATCTTTGCCCTGTGGACTCAGTGGCTCGGGCACCTGAAAATTCATGAGGATCGTGGTTGATGCCCTAGTCTTGCCTGTTAAGATACATTAGAGAAGTACTGATCTTGCTGTGTGGGGGTGGATAATGTATGTTTTATTGCCTGCGTTTGATATAGGGGTTGGAGCCTGCGTGCCTCCCCCTCTCCAACTGTGTATTTTACTTTTTGCAGTAGGCTAAAGACCAGGTTTTACCGCAACTAACTTACAAGCTGCTTTATTCTGAGATATTGTATTTGTTGTGATGGGCCTTTAGATTCATAGTGGGTAGCTTGAAGATTTAAAGCACGTATACCTTAAATATATCTTATCTGGGACAGGTTAGAAGTGACTATAACTAACTTCTATTTGGCTGTAATGCATTTATTAATGACAGTAAAAGCTGTAGATGGAAAAGCAATAGGTAGAACTGAGCCCCTTTAGGATAAATGCAATGTTGGATTCTTCGGTATGGTTTTGTAACTTGAGTTTTCAGTTTGCTGGGTACCTGCTGCCTGGCACACTCTTTTAATAAAGCAAGCAGCCCCCCCAAACGTGAAAGTCACAAGGTGGGGATGCGTTTATGCCATGGAATTGGCAGTGTGGGCACTGGCTCAGTCTTAAACATCTCAGCTCCTTTGATTTTTGCCTTTCACTCAAAACCTTGGAAAGGGAAGGTTACCAAATGCGTGTTTACTCCAAGCACACAACCTGCTCAGCCGCAATTATCTCCTAATCTGGTCCTTCCGAGTTTCTCTGGTCTCGCAGGTAAATACAGATTTAGCCGTTATTCAAGGCATATTATTTACCTCATTAAGTGTGTGTTTTGGCACGTGCATTATTTACCTGACGGACTAACGGATGGGAGAGAGCAAACGCTGTCATTTGTGCAAACAGCGACTTTGTTCGCAGGTGGCGAGTCCTCCCCTTCGCCTTCTCCCTTTCGGCTCCGTGTCCCTTCCTGGCGGAGCGAAAAGGGAGCGCAGGCGCAGGGAGACCAGGCGGGTGGGTGGCACATGGGGCAATGGAGCTCTTGCCCAGAGCCACGAGCAGTGGGACCAACCATGGGGATGGATTTAAATCTCCATGTCTATTTAGTGAGGTCTGTGTGTGTATCTGTCTATGTATGTATATATACGCACATATAGAGGGGGGATACTCATGTCCTTGTTTGAGAGGAGCGGGTGGTTGTGATTTGCCTGGTTTTTGCCACTATACCCAGCTATGTGTGTATCTGAACAGCCCCCAGGCTGGTACACCTCGGGCACTGACAGTCCTGTCAAGCTTTTCCTGCAGCGTTTTGAAAGAAAAAGGCTAGGGAGGGAAATCCAGGCAATCTCACATGGAGAATGTAATGTATTAAATAACATTTGTTAAATAGAAGCATCAGAAGTTGATGGCTAGGTCAGGTATTTTTTTGGGGAGGGAGACAGTAACCTATAGAGTGCTGCTTGTGTTTTACAATTCCTGCAGTTCATGTGTGGGTTTGTTGAATCAATATCCTCCTCTGAGAAATACCTGAAGTAAGAAATCAAGTGTAGCACTAGAATCACATTTCTGAGAAGCCTCGTACACAGAGCAAATGACAACTTCCCTGGGGAGGAGCCTTCCATCCACCAGCCGCCTGGATTTGTTATGGGAGTGGGAGATTTCGGCGCAGCTAACAGGCGTTTCAGGGCCAAGCTGTTTGGATGGATTGTAGTGTTGATGTGTGTATTGCTGTATTTAATTCCTGACGTGTATCAGAAGTTGCATTGTATATGAATAGATGAAAGGCCTCCTCAGAAATTTCAATGGGGTTTAGATCAGATTTTCTGTGTTTAAGTGGTTTGTGCTGTGTTCTGCTATGATAAGGTTCAGCAGGCGGGTGTGATCTGGTGCCTGGAGCCATGACTGTTGTGTGTCTCATAGTTCTTAATTTAGAGCTGTTTGCAGAGGTTAATTTCCAGTCGCCTGTGATTCTGGGCACCTTGAGCTCAGTCCAAATGTCATCTGTCGTGCTCAGAGCAGGTTACTGTGTTATTTCAGGTTTGTGCTGCTGGAACCTCCACCAGGAAGCAGAGAGAAAATCCCTGACAGGAGGCCAGTGAAGAGATACTAGCAGAGATGAGATGTATTTGTGCATGAGTAACGTGAGTCTGTCTTCAGTTTCAGATGCCTCTGGATGTTCAATGATAGCACTTCTCCATACTGGAGCAGCAAAGTTTCCCCAAAACTTACTTCCAAGGGCAAGACAAGCTGTGTGCTCCCTCCTCCCGGCTGGTGTTCTCAAAGGGTACGGCTCCATCGTAAGCAGGAAACTGGCGTCCCACAGCTTTGGAGCTTCCATGGCAGCAATGTCATCCTTCCCTCCACAGAGATATCACTACTTCTTAGTGCTGGATTTTGAGGCTACGTGTGATAAACCACAGATTCATCCTCAGGTAAACAGTCAATCCTGTTAATTATCCCCTTGCAAGTTGCTGCTGCTGTTCTGAGAGGTCCTAGCTCACGTGTTTTCTCTGGGTTGTCCCACCTCCTTTCTGTTGCTGGTCCTCCAGGGCTCTTGCCAGTCACCTGCTCTCTCACGAACAATGCTGGGACTGTTTGGTGGGAATGAAATGAAGGAGCCTGATTTCCATCAAGGAAGTGACAATGCATGTGTTATTAAAACATCTTTAAGTCATGTATGCTTGTCATCTGCCTCAACTGGGGAGGGTCTAAAATTTTTTGGCTGGGAACCTGCAGTAATAGAGCACTTGTGGCAGTCTTGTTTGATTCTGCAAGGTATTGCAGATTGATTCTGTTGGTAGCGAACAGCATTAGGAAAAGTTTGAATGATATTAATATGTGCAACCTAATGGTGTTTCTAAGTGGAGAAGAACAATAGTTTGGAGCTACTCGATCTTGCAGAGGTTACCTTGCCTGGCTGTTAACTCTGGAGTGTAATGAGACTGGAAGAGTTCTGTTTCAGAGGATTTTCCAGTGCCCTACCACTTGAAATCCAGGTGAAGTAGAGAGGGTTTTCTGCAGACAGTTCTTCCTTAGTAGTGTAGAGCATGTTGGCAAATATATTTTTCCTTGTCAGCAGGATGGACCTAAGGTTGCTGTTAAAATGAGAAAAACACACTAAAAAGAGACTAATACTGGGTTGGTGTCCTGCTTTAACCCCAGCTGGTACCTAAGCACCACCCAGCCACTTGCTCACTCCCCTGCAGCGGGATGGGGAAGAGAATTGGAAGAGTAAAAGTGAGAAAACTCGTGGGTTGGGATAAAGACAGTTTAATAGGTAAAGCAAAGGCTGTGCATGCGAGCAAAGGACACCAAGGAATTCATTCATCGCTTCCCATCAGCGGGCGAGTGTTCATCCATCTCCAAGAGAGCAGGTCTCTGTCATACGTAATGGTTACTTGGGAGGACAAATGCCATCACTCTGAACATCACATCCCCACTTCCTTCTTTCTGCAACTTTATATACTGAGCATAATGTCATATGGTATGGAACATCCCTTTTGCCAGTTGGGGTCAGCTGTCCTGGCTGTGTCCCCTCCCAACTTCTTGTGCCCCCCTGGCCTACTCACTGGCAGGGTGGTGTGAGGAGCAGAAAATGCCTTGACTCTGTGTAAGCACTGCTCAGCAGTAACTAGAACATCCCTTTATTACCAACACTGTTTCCAGCACAGATCCAAAACATAGCCCCATACTAGCTACTGTGAAGAAAATTCACTCTACCCCAGCCAAAACCAGCACGGTTGGTAATGAACAGACCCAATTTCCGAGTTTCTAAATTGAACTCAGGCTTCTCGCCTCCATCTACCAAGCAATTGGCCTCTTACGGGTATTGTGGGTAATATACACAGTGGATCAGAATAACTTCCATTTGCTTTGTTTGGAATGTGCTGAAGGCTGGGTGGTTTTCACGGTGGTGTTTCATTACTGAAGTGACGCCATACAGCACGTTCATTTCCCAGCGTAGCTTGGGCTTGTCCTGTCAAAGGGATGCTGCGAGTTGGGATCAAACTCGGCTCCTCTCTTCCCCAGGAGCACCTTGTTGAGTGCCACCTGCCCCTCATGTTCCCTGAAAAATGGCCAGCAAATTCCTTGCTCTTTTGCTGGGTCGTTGTGGGACGCTGTTGTGGCTCTGCATCCAGTTCCCCCAGCAGGGTCTTAACTGCTCTCCAAGTGAGATGTCAGGCTATTTCCTCCACGCTCCGCCTCGGGTGCACAGACCTGTCAAAGCTGTAAATTGGATCTACCTTGTCCCTTTGGATATGGGTTTGGTCTGTGCACATTTTGATGCAAAACCATGATGCATGTGGAGCTGGTTTACAGCTGGCAGTAAAAAGGAGCATGAGTGGAATATGATTACTACTGTTTTAAGGAGCTTTGTCCCCAAGTCCTTGCCAGGGAAAGTAATGGTCTGGGCCAATGCAGATCTGCTATATATTTTGTTGGTGCGATGGCACCTTTAAGGCGGAGATGTTCTTCAGTGTTGTTTTTCCAGTCTGCTGTGTTCAACGCCTGTCTGCTTCGTATCGTGTGGAGAGGGCTGTCAGTCCCTCATATCCCCACAAACAAATTAGTTTGACAAATAAAGAAAGGACTCTTGCTGCATGGGAATTGGCATAGCTGGAAAGGCTGAAGGTACCTGCCAGAATCGGGCAACTTTATAGAATGAGGCTTTAGTTGATGCCACTTCCTACATCTAACCTTTTTGCTGACCAGCGTGGCTTTTGTCCTCTTCACTGCTGGGCTGTATGTCATGGTGAGCAAACTGCCGTGTATTTCAGCGATGTTTTGTGCAAGGTTTTTACAGGCAGGATTTTTCACTGAGGCAGTGACAGACAGGTTTTGGAGATACGGTCTGACAATAGACCTGGGAGCTAGGAATGGTCAGGTGCTGATCTCCCCTGTAATCCTGATCCTTCTCCTGCTTTTGTTTTATTGCCTGCAAAATAGGAAGTCTAGATACGATGAAATTCAAATGCATTGGGATTTAGCGAGGAGGCTACATGCAGAGCTAAGCCGTGATCCAGGTTACTTTAAGTGGGTAGGCATAGCTGTAAATTCAGCCAGCTCAGCCTAAAAGTCTCGCAGAGTGCACTTGCCACCGCGCAGCACACTTGAAATTTCCCACTAACTGCTCTTCAAAATATCCCAGCTTCTTACCAGAGACTACTGAAAGAGCTATCTTTTTATCTGCACTAAGGGGTGTGATTGCCACATCTGCTCCCCATCCCACTGTATTTACTTGTGCTCCTCTGCAGCCAGTGGCCTCACTGCCTCTACCCCTGGGGAAGTCCTTCATGCTCATTCGGGAGCCCTGAAGACTCCTTCATTTCCATTCCCTTTCACACTACCCCATCTCCCTCCGAGGTCTCGTGGTATGGCCTCTGTAATGGGGATCAAGGAGGGTCAAGGACAGCGGTATTCCCCCGGGAATACTGTCTTGCATCGTGGCTCCAGTGGCTGGAGTGCCTTGTCGGTCCTGCCCTTTGCTTTGCTACCTCTGGGACAAGCATGGGGGCTTCTTCATGTCCCTTGCCCTACAGCCACAGAGGAACAGTAGCATCCTTGCACTCCTGACTTCTGATGGCTTTCCACAGATGTGCCCCTAAATTGCAGCTTGACTTTTGGGTTTTTCAGATATATTTATGAGTAGTGAGACCATCCCAAAAAGAAAAGAAGGTGTGGGTTTAACTGCTCTGTTCTGGATGGATAGATGGGAAAACCTGAAAGAATAGAGAGAATCTGTGTCGCCTGGCATTTTAGCCAGCCAGAGGTCGGTAGGGGTTGGCAGTAAGGCATGTTTATGGCTGGTCCCTCGCATCTCTTTAAAGCTTACCTTGTGCTTTTGGGATTTGATCCAACGTCCAGTGGGGTCAGGTGGGAGCTGTCGTTCTGTGGAGGTCGGTGGACCTTGGACCATGATGGTGGTGGTGTGCTTTGCTTTTCAGCTCTAACTCTGACTTTTTTTCCTTTACTGTCTGCTAAGAGTTTGTAAGTACCTGCAGCTTTTATATGCTGTCAGCCTGTAGAGCCGGGTACATATGGTGCTTTAGCTACACAAGAGAAGATGCATTAATAAGTGAGAGTCTCGGTCTTTTGTCCCTTTGTCCTTGTATACACCAGTGTTTATAGTGGCCAGTGCTTTCAGAGACTGTGTTAAGGAGCTCCCCAGGCTCGGATCTGTGTCTGCCTGTAACCTTATTTTATTAATGCAGTGAGTGGGTGTGCCTCTTTCGGTCAGCAAGCCAAGTATCTTGCCTTCAACTTCAGCAGAGTGGAAGAAAAGCGATGATTTTTTAAAATGTAAAAAATCTGAAGGTAGAAATCAGATCTATTCAAAGCTGAATTTGAAACTGGGCTTCTACATAGGATGTTAATCTCTACTGTAATTTATTAAAGCCACTTAAATGAAAACCAAATAAAATTCAAGCTTTGTATGTCTGCTGCCTGGAAGCGTAAAAGAGTATCAGACCCCTGACCTGGCAGAAGGAGCTCAATCTAGGAGGCCCCAAGTTGCTAAATGAGCTTTTGCTAATAATGAAGTTGCTTTTTGTTTCATGCCTGTGTTTTCAAGTACTTGACTTCAGTGTCTCAGATTCTCTCAAATTTGTTAATCAGGTGGGAATTAGAAATTCACCTCTTCAAAACTCTCGGTAAGAGGAAGGTATGATATGTTGAGATCTTCTAATTGCTGAAGGAGGTTGTGACTGGAAGCAGAAGAATAAATTGTTTACGGACAGTACTTTCCTTGTTCTCTTAAACAGCAAGTTTTAAATACAAAAATATCTTGATATTTTTCTTTAGTGTATCCTACATATTTCAAGTTTGCGTAGCACGCGTTTTGATTGTTATTTTGGGGGATTTTTTAGTTATAATTGCTGTCAAATGCAACTGCACGTAATAATAAATACAGAGAATCGCTCACCATTTCAGCATGAAACCCCTAAGTGCTGAGATTATGAATAAGCATATGTTCAGCTACTATTTTGTTTTTAAGTGTACAAACAAATCTGGATGATCATAGCACATTTCCTGATTGGCAAAAGCATATTAAAAAATGGGAGCCAGTCCTTCTGTGAGATACTATTAAGTACGAATGCACGACAAGGTTAAATGGGGTTCAGGTGGCGTTTCCTCGAGTGTTGGTGTAAAAGAGCATTAAAGGTGTTTTTTCCCTGAACATCCCCCTGGTGATTCTGGCCGGTGGGTGCAGCTGGAGCGGCTGCGATGGTCGCTGCCTCCCCGCCGCCCGCGCTGCTCTACCCGTGCTCTTGTTCCCATGGCAGGGACGGCTGAATGATGTCTCCCTGCTCCTGAGCCCCCGTGATTTATAGACCGACCTTGTAATGGGAATGGATGTTGATTTCCACCAAGTTTAGGCCGTAGCAACAGATGCTCAGTCCTTGCAGAGCTCCCTGCGCAGGGTGAGTAGATG